CTGTTTTCCTGTCACCTACATTTGAAAAGCTTTCTTGGCAGAAGAATTTGTAACTAATTTATGTTGGTACTTAATAGCCAGACAGCTTATTTTTAAATCTCTATTATTTTTGCTATCCCTTTCTGTAGAGCAGTTCTAAGAAGCAAGCCTGGTGATGACCTCATTTTCTTGCCAGGGTAATGAGATATTGAGTGTCTATATACAATCCTCATGCAATGCAGGAGTTGGTGATTATGTTTTCTTAACTGGAGATCCTCAGAGATGCTTAATATTTCTTCACAAATTGCGTTGGTAAATTAACAGTTCATCTAGCTAGTTAGATTTACTAGGGCAGATGGCATTTTGCATGTGTGATGAGAGCAGGAAGGAGACAGCAAAGCAGTAATGTAATTAGCCCTGTAAATGAGCCTCACAAGGTAAATCTCTTTAACCCCAGTGATAAAATGTGTTCTGTGCTAAAGCCTTGGATTACTGGTCCTGTGAAACAATGTGTGCAGCTGGTCAAGCCAAGATTTCAGAAGTAATCCTGCTAATTTGAAAATAAAGAACACCACTTTTTATCACACCTTCCTAGCACTTTCATATTTGAAACAGAAATCAGCCTCAAGGTGTGGTGCTCTGCCAATAATGCAGAGGTGAGTTGTGTGGAGTTACCTCAGTTCAGTTGTAAATAAAAGCTTATTTGAATGCTAGAGATGAGGTGTTCTAGCTAAGGGGGAAAGATGTTTCATAATAACAAACTAAATTCACAGGCTGAATAAGATGCGAGCTGAGGTGTCTCCTCACCATGCTACAGTGAGCAGTGTTTACACAGTACCTGGCACAGGACATTCCCCCCACTTTAACCCTTAAGCTGTGCAGTAGTAACTGTGATTAGTATCAATGTGTGTAAAACCTAACAGAATCACATAATACTTTGGTTTGGAAGGGACCTTAAAAGATCATCTAGTCTAGTACACCTGCAATGAGCAGGGAGATTTTTGGTGCTGCAAAGCCACTGAGTTGTGTTTGTGCATACAGATGTGTGGGTGAGTAACTGCAGGTAATCTCACAGTATTTTTATGGGAATATATATGACTTTCACATTTCATTTGAAATGAATTAACTGGGAATGTGTCTAATCCTGTTGATACTGAAGGCTATTGAAATAATAAATTCATGGTAAAGACTGGTCAATCACGGAGTGCTGCCTGGTGAGAAAAACACCCTGAAGCATCACTTCTGAAAAATCATTGCAAAGCAATATAAGTAGTAAATCTTTTATTCAGCAGGGAAATCTCACATTCTGTAAAATTAAGGGGGAAAATGGGCTGTGTAGTAGCAGCCATTGTGCTGTGTGTGGAACCTGTATTGTTCTTTTTAACTTATTCTGTCCATGTGGGAACGTTTTGTACCTGTTTTCAGGCTTTCCTGTTTATTGCTAAACCTAAAGGTGTTTTACTTTCTGATGAACAAGCTTTAGAGTCTTTAAATTTCAAACACATACAAAGTGCTATTTTCTGTGTAAGTTTGTCATAGCATGTTCAGTTTGAATTGTTTTTTTTTTTGACATACCAGCTATAAAATATGGAAGCAGTATAAATGAACTGTGAATCATGAACATTCTGAGCAATGTAAGCATATCACAAGGAATTAGCACAGGTTTTGGTTTGGTTTGGGTTTTTTAAGTATTGGCTGTTATTCTTGGAGATAATCAACACCTGACTGGACATGGCCCTGGGTCACCTGTGGTGGGTCACTCTGCCCTGAGCTGGAAAGTTGAACTTGGGGACATTGGATCCTGGGGGGGGTCCCTTCCAGCCTCAACTGTTGTTTCTCTTGAGCAGTCACTTACACAGGCATACACAGATGTATACAAAGGTCCAGAAGTGTGTATGTGTGTGTATAGATGTAAAACTTTATGTAACGTGTTTGGGTCTTCATTTATTATGGGACAGAACTAGAAGAATGGATAAAATCTATCAACTTTTGTTTAATAGGAAAAACTAATGCTCTCAAAATTTTCTTGTACCAATTCCCAACAACAGGGAACGTATAAAAGGGTCTTTTTGTCAACATTAAGATCGTACTTTCCTACATGCTTCTTGGCAGTGTTTTCACTACTCTACTAAATAATTTATGATAAAAAGTCATTATGATTGCAGGATTACTTTGGAATAATTCACATTGGAAGGGATCTCCAGACATCATCAAGTCCAACCTTTTTCCAGAGCAAGATGAACCTCTGAGCAGCCTGGAGGTGAGAGCAGGTTGCTGAGGGCTTTTCTGGTCAGCTTCAGAGTAGCAGCAAGGAGAGAGATGCCACAGCACCCTGGGCAGTTGGCTCCTGTGCACAGTCAGTCTGTGCTGCTTCGAGCCATTGAGGATCACAGAAGCTTTTCTTCCTTCCTATCACATTCTCATTTAAGCTGGTAGAAGTTTCTCATTAGTGGCTGTTCTACACCATGTTGTCACACAGTGTTAAATAGTTGAATCAGTAAGTAAACGAAGAGAGTTGGTTTAGCTCTTTTCCTGTACACTAAAAGCCATCTAGCTGTAAAAAAAATTCATTGCATTTATATTTTATGCACTAATATTTCTTAAACTTATTTACATGGTAGATACATAGACATAAACAAGAAGAAAGGTTGCCTCTCCTGAAGAAGAAAAAGTTTTCTAACCGCTAGTGTGAATTACAGCTTTGGGGTTTGTGCAGCTTTCCCTCACTTAGCCTGTCTGTAAAGCTCCTTTTTGCTGACACTTTTGGAGAAACATGGATGATGCAGGGAGGACTCTGCTGGTCCCAGTGTGTGAGATGTTCTGGGCTCCTCAATTCAGGAGGGACATTGAGGTGCTGGAGCAGGTCCAGAGCAGAGCAACGAGGCTGGTGAAGGGACTGGAGCACAAGTGCCATGAGGAGAGGCTGAGGGAGCTGGGGGTGTTCAGCCTGGAGAAGAGGAGGCTCAGGGGAGACCTCATCACCCTCTGCAACTCCCTGACAGGAGGTTGTAGTCAGGTGGGGGTTGGTCTCTTCTCCCAGGCAACCAGCAGTAGGACAAGAGGGCACAGACTCAAGTTCTGCCGGGGAAGAGTTAGGTTGGATCTTAGGAAGAGATTTTTTGACGGAGAGCGTGATCAGACATTGGAATGTGCTGCCCAGGGAGGTGGTGGATTCACCGTCCCTGGAGGTTTTCAAGCTGAGACTGGATGTGGCACTTAGTGTCATGGTCTTGTACCAACGGTAGGGTTGGACTTGATGATCTTGGATGTCTTTTCCAACCTGGTTGATTCTCTGATTGATCCTGTGTTTCAGAGCTGCAGTGGTGAATCCCATGCAGTGGTGTGTGCCTCATGATTCCCAAGATGCAGAGCTTGAAAGGAATGCAAGGATTGCAATTCTTCTGTGCTTCCCAAGTGCTTAATCTGCATATGTTTGGGGTTTATTTCTGTTATTGTGGGATTCAGCCTTAGCTTATACTTTGTAAGAGACTTTGTAAGGCCTTTCCAAAATGAGGTTGCCTCACTATAAAGAGTCCTTGCTTACCTATTGCTAGCACTCTTTCTGTGCTCTAGGATGTACTTCATTTCTGAGCAATGATTTGTGGCTTGACACTTCAGTGATGCATTGACAGACTTGTTTCTCAATTGGCAGTCTTGGTGGCTGCAGCTCCTTTGCAAGGACTGTCTGCCTTAAAACTGCAGTTGATACCTTGCTGTTGTGTATTTTCTTTCCTTGGACACAGTTTTCTGTGAGGAACTCTTCAGGATCTCTTCAATATGCAGTTCAGTGGAGTCCATGTTCCCTCTGCAGGCTGTTGGGGAGGGAGGACTGTGGGTGCTTTTTGCTTTGTTTTCCTGAGCCACGTGCAGAATGAGAGAAATCACAGCCCCTGTGAACTCCCTGAATGTATTTCACAAGTGCTGCAATAAATTTTGAGTGGTTTTGGATTTTTAGGGGGAGATGAATAGTCGGTTTTGAACCTTCAGGTCGTTTATTGATCCCCTGCTTAGGTAACTTACTGGAGGTTTTTATCAAATATGTTCATTTGCATATAGGGAGACTAAAACCAGGGTAACAGTAGCATGAAGTCCAGCTCTGTATGAACCTGAGGGGCAGAGTGCCTCCTTGAGGTGTAGTGTGCTCCTTCCTAATGTGCTTCCTCTTCTTCAGAGGAGACCAGAAGTTCAGTCAGCTGTTTCTCCTCAAGTGCAGGTTGTCACAGAAATAACCAGGAACCACAGTTCCCAGCATAATTCCTGTAGGCTTGTCAAAACCTTGATAACGGTAGGCTGGTGATGTCCCAAAAAGGGGAACCGTTCATTGCAGCTGCCAGGGCTTACTGAAATTTGCACTATTTGTGTTAAGTTTCTGCTTTGTTTTTATGATGGTTGCTGTATTTTGTTTATATTGTAAGTTAGAGTGAGTGTTGGATGGAGCTGCACATACAGTAAATTGTCATGTGTTAGGCTTTCTGATTTGTTTTGGTGTTGTTGCATACTCTCTATTGGTCCAGAGACGAAGATTTTTGAAAAAGAAGAAAAAAGATTGGGAAGATGTTGGCAAGAACAAAGTCCTCCTTGTACCCTTCAGTCAAGAAATCATCATTATCATGCTTGTTTTGCACATTATGCTGTGTGTGTGTATGTATATCTATGCAAGTGTGTACTTGGCATAATCATGAAGCAAATCTGATACCCAGAACATTGTCCAAGTAATTGATATATGTGTGATGAACTTTTAATAATGATTTTATGGTATGACCTCAGAAAAACCTTCACTGTATTTCAATGGCAATTGATTAATTGATAGATAACCTGGCTGTCTTCCTGTGAGCTCATAAAACACACAGCGGATTAAAAACGTTGTTACCAGGCAGATTTATGGGGACACTTATGTGCTTGCCTATGCTGTTGATTTCTGTTCTTAATTTCATCTTGATTACCTAACAGCAGAATTCATACCGTTCTCTGTCCTCTGCTTTTATAAATTAAAACTCTGGAATATTCTTGCTTATTTTCAGATCTCATCAGAAAACTAGCACAGCAGCAGTTTGGAAATACACAGGGCGATTATCAAAAGGTAAATTGTCTGTGTGTATCTGCATAAAATAATGAAAATGATGACTTTGAAATTCAGTTTTGTTTCTAAACCAGGAATTAGTTTTAAATTGTTCAACTATATGAACAAGATACAGTATGAAATATTTGAATAACAAGTGTGGTGGTTTCATAGAAAATATTGGGACCAAAACCTCTCAAAAACAATTGAAAATTCCATAAGCCACTGTAAAGAAACTGCTCGTAGTTAAGGTTGACTTATAAATTCCAGCTGTAATGTGATTGTGGTGTCTGTTGCACAAAGATTGAAGGCTCTTTGTATTGAAAAATATTGCTTTTATTTAAAAACGCTTAGAGAGAACCATTACTGCTCAGCTCCCATGTAACCTTAAGCTACTGTCATCAAAAAGCTGAATTTTTGTGCTAGTTCTGGTGCCTTTGTAAAACAAAGTTCCCATAGCCTACTTATAAAGTATATTTTTGTTTGTGTAGCATGTTAAGCGCATCAAAGCCATTTTCCATTATCTCTTTAGGTTTGTGAATATCCTGTAACAGTTGAAATTTTTAGGGTATCTGGTAGCAAGAGAAGAAAGAATTTAACATGCAGCTGATTTTTAGGCTGTTCTCAAGGACTGTGTTCTGCCTTTGAGGCAGTATCAGGGGTTGAGTTTCTGCAGTAGGAATATTAACTGTGACCAGGCAACAGGCAAGTTACTTCATCAGAGCTACATTTTTATAGTCCCTGCAGTATGGTGTACCTGGCAGGAGGATGAGTATGGCACTTGGCATACTGGCACTGAGCTATTGCCTTGAATCAGGATGGCCTGAATGATCTTGGGATTTGAAAGGAAAAAGGCTTGTGCTTCTATGCCTTCTGGACAACAAGCCTGTTTCTCCAGCAATCTGATAGCCTCTGCATGGCATCCTTGCTGCATCAAGTGACTCTTGCCAATCCCACGTGCTTGTTTGGTTGAACTCTGTAAGAGTGGTGCATCATAGTGCCTGCACACCCAGGGTGGAATGTAGGGTTGGATGTGGTTGGCAGAGTCTTGGGGCAAAACCATTAGATCATAGGTGGTATACATGAGCATAAGTATAGTACTTAGTAACTAGTACATAAGCCAAGAAAAATTTGAGACTAATGAGGGCTATAGTCCTGTGTAGTGAATGTACTTGTTGTTGTGCTGTGCAATTATAGGGTGGCAGATACAATATTAGAAGTTCTTAAGAAGCAAAACAGCTATAGGCCATTTATCAGTCCAAATTTTGACCTGAATACAGTGCAAAACTTTAAAACAAATTTGGAAAAGGAAAATATATCAGGACAGAAGCATCAGTCAGTGTTAACTGTGAAGAGGCCAGCATGGATGTGCCTTTGGAGGCATATCCAGTGGAGACAGGCAAGTGTGAATTTCACTGCAGGGTGTGGGTAAGTAGTTAGAAATGTTTCCCTGTGGTTTTGATCACTGAAATTCAAGGAGAATGAACTCAGGCTAGAATGAATTCAGAAAGTGTCCATTAGGGTGATCTGTGAAACCTGTGGGTCTCCAGAGGAAACTGGAAGAGTTTGCTTTGCTTAAGAAAATAACTGATTAGTGTGAATATCATTTTAAAATACATCTATGGAGAGGAAACACTAGGAAGAAATCACTCCTCCTTGGGCAAATAATAGTGCTAGCACAGAAACAAAGGGGCTGAAACAGACCATGTGCAAATCCATGTGAGAAGATTTGCTCACCCAAACATTGGGAACAGCCCTTTGGAGGCAAGAACAGGAAATCTGCCTCTCATATTTATTTATCCTGTTAAATTTTTGCTGTCACTCCACTATATTTTTTTTTAACCTATTTATAGAATGTGTTTGTGACCCAGGAGGCCCTTCCCACTTCTGTGCTCTGTGTCCCAGTGTTCCCAGTTGGACTCTTCCATCAGCATCTCCCCATCCCCTGCCAGGGGCAGCAGCCTGCCAGGACAGCCCAGCAGCTGAGCCGTGCCTGCTCAGGGGGAGCCAGCTCACTGCTGCTCACATTGCTGTACCTCTGCTGCAAGAGTGCTTGCCTCAAAGGATCAAAATCATATTTAGCACCAGATCTAGAAGGGAGGACAAGCATTTGTCTTCCTCCCATTAATATGGGAGGTAATACGTAAATGTGTTAAAAATATGATTTTGCACATTTTAAGTAAGATTACACAGTAGAGGTTTCATAAGGATGTGTGTGGTGCTGAAAAAAATTCTTGAAACTTGAACATTTAGGATTCTCACACATCAGACTTTGAGGGATTTTGCCATCTTTAGCTTGCCTAGTTCTCTTCCAGTTATAAGAAAAAGGAAAGCATTATCAGCTCTGAACTTGTCATGCAGAGATGAAGGAGAAAAGACAATAAATTCTATTTCCAGTGTGGAAAAGGAAAGGAGAAATTTGCTTCTTCTGGCATTCCTATTGTTGTATATTTAATTTTCAGTGTTTTTCTGGTAGTACAGATAAGAAAACAGTTAAGAATTGTTAAATAGATTTATTCAGTCTTTCTTGAATGCCTTTTCTATTTTTTACCTTTGGATAATATTTAAATTAAACCTCTGCATGATTAGTTAAAAGTGAAGGTGAATTTTGTGTGTAATGTGTTACGGTCCCAAAACTGCTATTGAAGCTACCAAAATTCAATAAGCTTTGAAAAGAACAAGTTAATCAGGAATATAATATCAGTTATGACAGGTGGAATTCATGAAGAAATCACTAAACCGCAAACTAATGAAATCTCTGACCTTCTGTGAGATATGTTGGGAATTCTACAAAACAGATGCTCCATGTGGAAGTAACTGGTCTGTCATTGTTTTAAGATGGAAGTATTAGTTGGACAAATCCTAGATTGCTTCCACTTACCAAGGAAACCAGAAAATACCTGCTATGTATTTTATTGTAAAAATTTTGCCCCAGTTATTTAATGGTGTTTCTGTGCTTTATTTTACTTTAGTGGGTTATTGTTTCTGTGTTGTTAATTGTTATGGTCATGGTTAATTATTCATTATTCACTATTCATGTGATTTGTTTCTGTGCATGCTGCCTGTGTATTATACACATTCTCCATTTGTTTTGACTTCCACAGCCAGAAAATGTTGTCCTGACTCTTCAGGTAATGTGTTATGATAGATGTACAGCTTTGAAAAGAAACTAACCGTGTCTGTATGCAGTCCTTCTGTTAAAACCTCCATAACTATTTTTAATGTTGCTTTAAATACTGTTTTTCCATCCAACCTATCTCAAAATAACTTATATTGTCCAATAGTTTTTGAAGCATTCAGCTAGCTAGAAAAGAAAACAGCAATTCTTTTGCAAAATCTAACCAAATTCTTCTTCCAAGCCTCCAGTTGGTATTCTTTAGAAGGGAGCACAGGTTTTAACCAGCAGTTGAAAATAACAATAGGAAAAATAGTTTTCATCCTAGAATTGGTAATTAGGTCAGAAATTTGCAACTCTGCTAATGATGATGGTTGCTGTATTTGGCTCCGTTGGTAATTAGGGATTGTCAGGAAGGGCATCAGCAGAGCTGGAAGTGGAGCATGATTGATGGCTTGTGAGAAATCGTAACTTATTTTGCAGGACAGTTCTGCAGCCTCAATTTCATCCTTTTGCTGCCAATTTGCCCTTGTGCTGGTGGATTTGTAAAACAGAAGAGGACTCACAGTGCTAGTGTGAGAATTAGTTCCCCTTAAATTGGGAAAGAAGACAGATTTATCAGGGAAGGAAGACCACTGGGGTGTGCCCACACTATGCTGTCTCCGTGTGCAGACGCCTGCCTGATCCGGTTTTGGATGTTGGCTTGTGTTTTCAGCAGAGGGAAGGGGCATGGCCAGCTCACAGCTTGTCTGCTGGAAGTCACATCACCTTGTGTAGGGCTGGGCCAGGACTGCCTGGCCCAGCTTTGTGGTCCTGGGGCTCCTGCAGTGTGAAAGCTGGTTAGATATTGCATTGCATCGTTCCCTTTTACTGCTTCCAGCTTTCAGAAGTGTCCTTTTAGTTGCTGCTGTTGTGCTGTTTGGCAGCAGAATAAATGTCTTTACCTGAGAGATCTTAAAATCTATCTGCTCCTTCATGTTTTCCAGTCCCTAAGCAGTTTTAAATTCAGCAGTTTGGAGAAACCTCTGCCATTGTAGTCTATCATCCAGTGAAGTACTTCCCTTTGCAGTTCATACTAATCTTTCTACTCATACCTGAATATAAAGGAGAACAATCTAAGCCTCCTTCCCCCCCATCCAGATGAAGTGTTGATCTAACTAGCCTTGCTGACCTTTGTGGTGTCTTTTTGGAAACAGATGTGAGAAACAGTAAATTTGTGGTCCCAGAAATCAAATGTGTTTGTTTTTAACTTGTTGCAATTGCATTGATTCACATTTGTTTCTTGTGAGCCTACTACTCTCTTAGCACTCACTCTTGTAGTCTGCCTAGCTAATAGTCTAGCTAAATAATGATTAGCTCTCAGTATCTACAATATTATGTATCTCTTCCTTAGAAAAATTGTCAATTATTGACAAAACACAGCAAGTCCATAACTTAGTAGATGGTTTAGTTTGTAGTGTGATTATTAATGATTTGCTCTATATTGATTGCAGTTACTGTGTGATACCTGCTATTACCACTTTTTTTTGTCTAAATTACAGGCCATCTACTATGAAATCGGTTTTATAGTCTCCGCAGCCTTGGGATTGATATTTATTTTGTTACTGCCTCTTGTGGGACTTTGCTTCTGTATGTGTCGTTGCTGTGACAACTGTGGTGGGGAAATGCATCAAAGACAGAAGAAAAATGCTGACTGTCAGAGGAGCTGTTTTGCAACATTTCTTTTTGTTGCTTCTTTAATAATAAGGCAAGTGTGATAAAGAGAACAATATGAAGCTTGGTATAGCACTAATTTTGAAGTGTCATGTGACAAATAATGTTGCTGTATTAGCTTACAGGTGCAGAAATTATTTTATTTGGCTAAGTAATATTATTGCTTATTAAAGTAAATGTGACTGCATCATGAAAATTCTGGTGCCATTGCTATTCATGGGTCATTATGTGCTTGAGAGGAATGTAGGTGTGAAACAAAAACCAAATTGAGCTTGAATTTGGCAAATGAAATTTTTTGCCAGTCTCGAAATGGCTGTTGCCGAATGTTACATTAAACTTAGGAACATGAGAGGTCATGTCCTGTGTTCAGTTACCAACCCATGGAAAACCCAAGGTACCACATGCTGCATTGGCCTTGGTAGTATCGTAGGGTTGAGAAAAGCATATCTGTGACTTCCTTCAGTGTTTGCTGTCCTCCAGATGTTCTTATTAATTCAAAATAATGAGTTTTCTGCCCCGAGTTGTTTAAACCATGCATGTACTCACTGTAAATTCTGGGGTTTGGAGACATTTTTGCACTATTGGTGTTTAGGATCATACTCTTGTGCTGGGTGTGTAATGGGTGATGAGGAACTACAATCAAGACTTTTCCCTATTTTTCAAATACATTGTTTGCTTTCAGGCTTTTTATTTTCCTTTAACTTCTTCATAGTTTCACCTGCCTACTGTCCTTATTTTGTGATCATATTAAAAGGAAAGAAAAGTCTTTTGATCTATACCATGAGACAGTTCAGGTGGGATTTAATTTGTCCCTTCACTGTAGTCTAGAATTTAATTTTTTTTCCTACAACTTCTACTTTCCCTTGTGTTTGAGACATCAGGAATATCAGATGCTTACCATGAAGGAGGGGTTGGCCTGAGATCTGTCTGCAGGTTTCCATGAGTGTAGATAATCTCATATGACTCCCTGCCTGACCACCCTAACAGTGAAAAGGTGGGATTTAATTTGTCCCTTCACTGTAGTCTAGAATTTAATTTTTTTTCCTACAACTTCTACTTTCCCTTGTGTTTGAGACATCAGGAATATCAGATGCTTACCATGAAGGAGGGGTTGGCCTGAGATCTGTCTGCAGGTTTCCATGAGTGTAGATAATCTCATATGACTCCCTGCCTGACCACCCTAACAGTGAAAACGGTTTTCCTAATGTCTAATCTGAATCTCCCTGTCTCATGTTATGGCTGTTCCTTCTAGTCCTCTCACTGCAGGCATGGCAGAAGAGACCAAAAGATGTTCTGCATCTTCCTCCCTCTCTCTAGCAGTGCCAGCCATTCTGGGATTGCCTCAGTCAAGAGATTAGAATTCTAAGGAGGTTAAATGCACAAAGGAGAGTATTAGTAGGGGAAAGATTCTGAATACAGAGCTTGCAATAGATTGTGTTTGTAGGTAACAACTCTAGAAAACTCTAGTAACATGGGGATTTTCTGTGTGTCAGGATATAAGTTCACACTGACTGTTAATGTGGATTTTAGAATATTTCAGCTAGTAGATTTTAATCATGAGGAACACCTCTCACTTTTCTACTGATGTACTGATTGCTCTGGTAATTAGAATGAGGTTTGAATACTAAGTTTACTGGAGTGATGTGGAAAGGAAATAAAAGTTTGGGGGGTGTGTGGTTTAGATTTTTGTAATTTTAAAGAAAGCTCTGCCTGGATCTGTTTCCTGCAGGTGGAGCTTACATGAGAAATATGCTTTCCTCAAGGAGAGGTGTAAGAAACAAGTCAGTAAACTTGTGATTACATAGGCAGCTGTTTATCTTAATAGGCCTTTATGATGCCATTTCCCAGTACTTGCACTTTGTGTTTGAAATATTTCTTTTTATAGATTGAGTCAAAAATACACACAATGTTTTTGGTAGTTCACAGCTCTTACACATGAATGTTGTCCTACAAAGTAAGATTCTATTGCTAAAGAGCACAGGATGCAAAAGTCATCTATCTCATAGATACCTAAGTAAGTTTCATATTCCAAATTTATCAATAAAACAATTATGTGCTTTTCTTCAAAGGCTAACTGAGAGTTTAGGTACAGAGAGCTGCTATTACATCTTATTTCCTTCTCATCTACAAGGTTAGGTGAACATATGTTTTTTTCTGGGAAAGAAATATAATTTCATTAGTTCCTCTATACCATAAAGGCAAGGGAGGGACATTTGTTTTTAAGAAAGCATACGTTGGAATTCCAAATTTACTGGTAATAGAAAGTGTCCTGACTATTGGATAGGAAAACACAGTCAGTTCTCTATTTTTCCAAGGGAGTTTGTCTTATAAGCTCTTTCTTGAAGTTGTGGAGTTGTATGAAGCTAAGGAAAGCCAAGTCTGAAGGAAGGGAATGGTATTTGGTATCTTGGCAAGTACCTCATGCAGGGTTCATAGTGTCCCCTTGGCTTTGCAAGACTGGGAATGCATGTTGATCAGAACCTGGGGATCAGCATTATCTGAAAGAATTGGTGGAGCAGTTGATGCAGAAATCTCTAACCCATTACTTTCTTAAATTTATGAGCTAGTAGTAAGAAAGGGACTATCCTTCCAATATGTAAATCTGCTCAGGGTTTCTATTCTGCAACTTGTTTTTTTGCAAGCTCAGCTAAAGGGAAATCTTGGGTTCCCTCTGGAAATTGGATCAGTAACATTTATATCAGTCTGTGAGACCTGATGAGAAACTGTGTGGAATGTCAGACTCCTGAAGAATCTGTTTAAACACTTCTCTAATCTGCTACAGAAAAAGCATGTCCTCTTTATTCCTGCTTTATGACTCTCTTCTTGTAGCTGCTTATTGAATGTTCACTGAAGGCTCAGTTACATAATAAATAGATTATTTTTTTTCCTCTCTGATGTTGTGTATTTGTTCAGTTACATTCAGAATGTAGTCACAATTGTTCCAAGTGCCTTGTCTGCTTGAAGCATCTCCACTATTTGGTTTCCTCCCACTCCTTCCATTTAGGAAACTGAAGAGAAAGATGATCACACTGAAGTCTTACAAAGTACTGTTTTGTTAGCTTCCAGTTGACCTTTTTGCTCTGTGACCATAGCATTGAAAGGATGTAAAAACGCTGTCTGTCTAAAGAATGTGGCTATGAACTCTGAGCCTCAGAGCTATATCCAAATGTTTGTTTTTCCTGATAGCTTGTGATAGCTTGTCTTCTGATTAACAAAAAAAACAAAAAATGTTTTGATAATAATTGCCATCACAGTAGAGAGAGAGGAAATAATATATTGCATATGTCCAAAATGAAACTGTTTACTTTTGCTTACCATAGAATAGTTTGGGTTGGAAGTTACTCAGTTGCTTGGTATTTTATGCATTCTGAGTTCTCTTTCCTTGGGTGGTAGCTGGTAATAGTGGAGCTTGTGTTGGTCATAGTGAAAATAAAACTATGCCATGTGCTGTTAGTTAAGTAAGTAGGAAGATAGATGTGGGTGTCCCTTCGTTTCTTAGTAACTTCTGGGAGGTTAATTAATAGCCAGTTTTGAAGACATAGGTGTGAAATTTTGGGTAGAGGAGCAACCTCTTTATGTCAAACTGTCATCCTGTTGCGAATATTTTTGGATATTGAGAAAAAAGTTAGTGAAGTGATCCAAATAGATCAGCACCTGTAGCTTATAGTTGTGCCTTCTCTCTTTGAACATGCTCTGAAATTAGATTTTTTTCTTCTGAGAATATCTCGTCAGAGCAGCAGAAATTCTTGTACTTGAGACCAGTTTTCCCAGGAGAACAAACTTTTACGTTGTTTGGGAAAGCTAAAGTGAGGAAAGCAAAGTAAAGATGAAGGTTTGGTTTTGATTTGCTGAAGAAAGAGATGAGCATCATCAATCAATGTATTCACTCCTGTCTTGCCAGGATACACAAGTCATGTTATTTCAGGTACCCGTTTGCTCTCCATCATCTCATTTATGTGGCTGTATTATGGCTTCCTTTGAACATGAGCAAGAATTATACTTACCAGGTCTCCTTTGCCCCATTGGGAGCCTGGTATATGTTTTCTCTAAGTCTTATATAAAAATTAATATTTAGCTCTTCTTGACACCCCAACTTGGAAAGATTGACAGTCTGGAAGGAGTATAGTACTGTTTCTGTTAGTGACTCCCTTCTCCTATGTTTGGATGTCCATTATGGCCTTTCAGGGTACTGCCTCTCAAGTATTGAGCTGTTTGACATCAGTGCAAAGTAACAGACTGAACAAATGTTCCACCAGGAACTGCCTGTGACAGACCTCACTGCAGCCTCTAAGCAGTGTTTGCCCTTTAGGGATATATCCTGTCTCTGTGGGGTAGATCTCTGCTGGGTAAATCTATGGAAAGTTAGTGCTCAACCCATCAAGTGGGTTTGTAGTCAGCCTGATTTTGAGGCTATTATTACCACTCTGGTGGCTACTCTTGACCTGTCTGGTGCTTGTCTGAAAGGTTAGCTGTTGTGAATGTGAGATGTTTAAAAACAAAAGTTATCCTTTTATTTAAGCTCATTTTACACCTAAGCTAAACAAAAAACTAAGGATCATAAATGTGAAGATGGTTTTGGAGACTCATGGGACTTTTAATTGCCTTTTTACTTACTGTTTGTGCAGATCTGCTATGCTGTAATTAGAATTTTACAGTGGGGAATGATCAAATAGAAAACAATCAGCAGCAGTGCTGACTGGGAGTCTAGCTTACTTTCCACCTTTTGTTTCAGTATCAGGAAATGCTTATATTTTATTTCAGTGTTTATAGGGAATATTCATGTCCTTTTGAAAGATCCATGCAGTTATGTAAATGAATTGTGCCATTATGCATAAATCTTGCTGAAGTTATCAAATTAAGATTATTCCTTTTGCAGTAGCTGTGTCAAGGTTAATGATACTGTAAAAGAGTCTAACGTTTCTAAGTCTTGTGCAATTTACCTGGGCTGTGCGTGTTTTCTGACAGTGCCCCTGCAAATGGATTAGTGGCTGCATGTTAGTAACTTCTGAAGACTTTGGGTTCACATTGCCTTTCCTTTCTTTTTTTCTATACTGTAGTACAGTGTTGGCCCTTATGGCTTATTCCTGACACCGCCTCGTGGTGCATGAGAAAACCTGTAGGAAGGACAAGAGAATGTGTAAATTCATGGAGACCTTTCTTTTGACAATGTTGACTTCTGTCTTTTCTGTATGTTTTTGGTTCTGCTTTCTGTTAAAATGGTCATTTACAGTAACAGATATCTATTATCTCTATTTTTTTGTAGTGTTGGAGTGCTCTGCGCATATGCTGCCAACCAGCATTTAACTAACCAAGTCCGAGGAGCAAAGAAACTGGTTAACAGTAATTTTAAAGATCTGAAAGTTTTCCTTAACAACACTCCAGCGGTAAAGAATTTTTTCTTTACGGGGAATGGGGGTGGGAGGAAAAAGGTGTCAATAAGAAATATTGCAGGAAATAATTGTTTCTTTCTATTTGACATGCATCACACCTGCAGTATTTTGTTTATTCTTTGTGTCAGTCTCACTAAGTAGATTAAATGGTGCAAAGTAAGATTTTTTCACACAGCAGTGTTTGGGAGTTATCCTGATGGATCAGCATTCTTTGAACAACTTCTGATCTGTACTCCTGGAGCTATGATGTTTGTAGGCCCTTGTCATCCTACTGAACTAGTGTAGATCACTAGCATAAGATAGATAATTTGGAAAAATAAGGTTTTAAAAGGAATACATACAAAAATATATTGCATGAAAACTTGGATTCTTTGTTGCTCTTTCCCGTTTCGTTTGTTTTTTGACTTACTTGTACGTGCTCTGGGACTGAGCCGCAATTGCTTCTTTTTCAGGAATATTTTTGACCGTTCCTAAACCAGAGTCATACTGTGCCATACTGAACAGGAAACATTCTCTCCTTTCAGACTTCCCTTAGAGCCCCAAAAGCAGTCCTCTGCCTATATCATTCTGTATTGAAAGAACAAAAGAAATGCTAGTGAGGAAGACTTATAAACAATGTACAGTTTCAATTCTTTATGAATTTGTAGGGGAAAAAACCAAGTCCAATAGTCCTATTATCTTGGCATTCTTTAATTTGAAGATTTTAAATTTAATTCTATGCATCTGTTTTACTTCCAAATGACTGATAAATTAGAAATAGGTGGAATTCAGGCAGTCCTGTGGGATCCACAAGTGTGGTAGCATCCCAGTCACAGTAACTCTGGGCTGCTTTTCTGCTGGGCAGGACTTTATGACAGACATCATGGTGATGGTGTTATATATTTAACTATCTGGAGCTGGTCCCTATACAATTATTCATTTGCTCATGGTGTTTTGACAGACCAGCGGTGGAGGTGGAAGTTGGATTGTTGGCAGGAAGTGGAGGTCATGCCAACAGTCTGACTTGAAACAGAGTGCCTTTTGTCAGTCTGGAGCTGACTCTGGCACAGAAAGATGAATCCAGTCACATCAGAAACCACTAGAGTCCCCTTGACAGCACAGCGAGTGCCAACAATAGGAGATGTCAGAGCAGAAAGTCTGTTACATAGTAGTAACTATCTTTATAGCTAGTGCCCATTTTTTTCCTATATTAAGTTAATAAAAATGCTGAATTCTTGACTTTAAAAGTGTCAGAACTTGAACACTTGTGCCAGAGGTTCCTCAAAGTCTCACTTAGTTGGTTTTTTATTTAGTTTCAATGCAGGATTATTACTTTCTCTTTGTTTGACTTGGTACTGATAGTCATCAGCTATATCTTCTAAGCCATTTTGTCAGACAAAGTAAATGAATATCATGTGTACACACACATTTGAAAAAATCTCTCAGCAAGGAGAAGGACTTCAGCTTCTTGACAAAATTCTAGAATCCGTCTAATTGTCTATAAAGCTCTGAAATCCGAATTGATGTCCTTGACTCATCAGTATGAGGTGTGTACAGTGTGTAAGAGGATTTGGCAAAGAAGTCTTGTGTTAAGAGTTCATGTCACAGAAGATTTGCAGACTATGAGTATTGAGCAACAACACTATTAGCTATACAGAATCACCTTTTGTCCGTGACATTGCTGGAGACAATGCAAAACTTGTAGCCCTGCAAAATTTTAGTCCTTAGATTAGCCTAAGAAGACAAAACAAACAAGCAAAAAGATGCATACAGCCTCCTTAGTAAGAAACTCTCAATATTTTCCTGCTGTTTTAGGAAAAAGGAGGTCTGATTCATACTTTGTCATTTAATTACTTCCACTGCTGTATGATCAATTAGGTCAGTTTGAGGGTGTCTTTTTGTGTTTTTCCTTTATTTCACAGAAAGTTTCAGACTGCAAGCTAGATCCTTTGGTACACATTTGAGTTGTGCTTAAAATTGGAAACCCATTTGTCAACTGTGTTAACCTTTACATCACTTTAACTCAGTTGGGGTAAAATTCCTAATGCATTATTTTATACATACAGAAATCAATGAAGGATATTTATTGTCTTTTCAAAATATTAGTATTATATTTCCACTTGAGATGGTTCTTTGATAGTCTTTTGTCCAAACCCAGGATCTGGCATTAACTAAATTGCTGGTTTATATTGTTATGGTGTCTTGGTAGAGCTCAGGTTGAGACTGGGCCAAATCCACTTAGGGGTAAGGAAAACCATTTGCATTAAGACAGAGCAGCTGTCTCCTTTCTGCCAGAGGAGATCTGAGAGGCTGCCCAGATACAGGCCAGTCTGGTTGGTGAATTGCTTCAAAGTTCCCACTGCATCAATGCCACACATCTCACCGTGAAGGAGCAACTAATGCTGCTAAAAAATTAAGTAACGCCGTTGAGGACATGCAAAATCGCATTGGCCTGACTGACTTGAAGCCTTACTAAGGCTGCAGTTCCTGCTACTTGACACTTTTAGGCTGAACCATTTACCACAGAGATGTTCCAAATAAGTAGATTTCCAAGTTAAACACATCTTTCTTTTACGTGCAGGTCTGCAGATTCTAAAATACTTAATTAACTGCAAGCAGTAAGGAGCAGCATTTTGGGGGTCTGCACAAATGTTTTGATTCTATCAAAGTGGCAGTTTGACTCATTTAAAAGCATTACTCTTTTCCAATTCTTTTAATAGTTGTTTTTTTTTGATCCTCTTCAGCAAATTGACTACTTGGTGAGCCAATACAACACAACTAAGGATAAAGCACTCTCTGACCTAAATAGTAAGTACTTTGATTTAAAGGGGGTTAGCAACGTGTATTTAAAAACCTCAATAAGGTGATGTAATTAGCTCATAATACAAAGTGAAACTTTATGAGAACATGGTTTTCAAACAGAAGTGCTGTTCTCAGTGGTAAATGAGACTAAAATATTCTTTTCACATAAAATGTCTCAGAGCTGGTAGAATGTGCAGCATTTCCCAAAATGAAAGTCTTTTATTAAGTAGTTTATACAATAAGTCAGGCTAATATTTCATTTTCCTTAATGCTTCTTTTGGAATATTATTCCTTAGTTTTTAACTGTGAAGCCAAGTGTCAAGGAACAGAGCTGCTAGCAGTTATGATGGTTCCAATGAGTGAGAGATTGCTGTATTTGTTGATTTTTTTTGTTATACCTTTGTCCTCTATTCAGCTAGATGTTGAGGCTTAAGCTTATCTTCTTTCTAAAGCTGCTTAATGTATTTGCCATTTCAGAAAGAGCAGTTGAAGAGGAGATAAAACTTGAAGTAGAACTGCTGCACTTTCCCCTTCAGCACAGTTACAATGCAAGGCATCACCTTTTAAAGCTCTCAGTAAATGGAACCACTGATTTTATCTTGCATTTTTGTAATTTAAGCTTCACTTTCCAAAGCTCAAAATAGAAAGGGCTGACCATATTCAGGGCAGATGATAATTCAAGATGCATTGTTAGCAGGTGTAAATAAATGTGTACAGGTTTACATTTCAGACTGGAGGATTGTTGCTGGGATCAAACGGTGCAACTGTGGTGTCATGCCAGTTATCATCAGCTGCCTTCTCACACCCCAATCTGTGCTTCTGCCTAGGTTTAAAATGTGTTTTAAAAGTAGTTTTCAATGCAGCCAACTTGGCATACCTTGAGGTTAATGTGTCATGTCCATATGAGGTGATAATAATGCACATTGAATGTGCTTGTGAAAGTAGTAGCAGCAATAAGTAAGTCTCAACTTACTTAAGCAGTAAGTTAAGTAGTCCTCCTACTTAATTCTAGGCCAGGGCATTCTGGTCTAAAAATATGTATGTAGACTTTAAGTCTATTATTATAACAATAATAATAATAATTTCAAAAGTTGACATCTGTGCTTCACATACTAACTTGAAACTTCAGCCACTCCAAACTGAAATTTCACATTAAATGTGTATGTGTTATGATGTTAGTTAGCAGGAACCTAGCTGGATCTGTGAATAGAGTGATCATCAATAAATAAAGATAACTTTTATTTTCTTGAAACACCAGAATGGAGTGTGTGATACCTGGGTACAAAAGGATTTCATTCTAAGGGAATCAACCAAGCATAAACCCTGAGAGAAATGTAGATGAGTTCAGTTTGGCCACCCAAAGGAAATGCTGAAAAGTGTTTTCTGCTTGATAAAAATTCTCATCCCAAGCCAGACATGACAGCGCTGACAGTAATGGATGCTTCTATACCATGCAGTATTCCCATCTCATCAAGAGCAAAAAAAACTCAAAAATCTGTTTACTGTCATCTGAAAATGGAAGGGACCCAGTGACTACCAAAAGAATATTTTGCCTTAAAATGCTTCACCAAACTCTGCTCGGCGTTTCTTTGTCTTCTTGCTGAGCTAAGCTTCGTTTCTGTTCGTGTGCAGTGAGACTGGAGGGTTTGGATGTGGGGGTACCTATGGGTAAGCATGAAGCCAGCACTGTGAGCATCTGTGCTGGATGCACTGCATGTGGGGGCTGAAGATGTGCTTAACATGCTTAAGAGATTTCAACAGAGCTGGGTGCCAGGTCTGGGGTATAGGTGACCTTGATGTTGTTGGATACATGAGGAATGGAAGAAAGGAAAAGAATCCGTTTTCTAGTTCCTCTTGCACTATGAAAACATAGTGTGTAGTGAAAGAGTATGCCACAAAAAACATAGTGTGTAGTGAAAGAGTATGCCACAAAATTCCTGTCCCGATATTGGACCTCTTTAAGATAGGTTGTGGAAAAAAAGCCACACAAAAAATAGTAAATGCAATGAAATACATATTGTGGAGTTTGTTGAAATGTTATATGTCTTTACCTATGTGGTCAAGTGCTAGTGAATATTTTTCATCATATTTTGATTTACTGCTTTCATTTAGAGGCCTGTAGTTGAAGGTGAACTGTGTTCCAGCATTAACCTTCCATCACTAAGCTCTGTTAGACCTTAGAAAAATTTCAATAACATATGTATACTCTGTTACGTAAGAGTCTGGCAGCAGCTATGCTGAGAGATAGTTTAAACTGGACTAGTGTGTAATAGTTTTTTTTTATCTCTCCACACTACAGATGTTGGACCTGTGCTTGGAAGCAGAGTTCAAGAACAGCTGGGAAAAGAAGTTCATCCTGCTCTTGATGCAACTCTGACAATGGCAGGAGGTAAAGATGTACATGTTGTTGTATAATGTTGCCATGGTAAAATAGGCATTATCTTTCCAGTGCACAGCATGGGATAGCTTATGTGGTACCATGAGTCAACTTAGTATTCTTCTACATGCCTTAATGTTTCTGTTAAACTGAGGACTTCAGATATGTTAAGATTTATAAATATATTTTAAAACTAAATCAAGATTTATGTGCTAGTGTTGATACTTAGCTTTTGGCAATCACTGAAGAGATGAAATCCAAATTCCTTGCTCCAGGTTGTTGTTCCTTTCTGTCGAATATAAGGGAGACTAGGAAAATTGGCCTTTAAGAGCTGTCCATAGGTCTTTGCAGGTTAGACTTCAAGAAGTCAGGGAATGACTTTGTCCTGTACACTGGCAAGTTTCTGAGAGTGCTAATCAGCATTTCTTCATTGTGTCTTCGAGTTTCAGTGTTACTTGTGCTTAGTTCTCTCTCCCTTTAGAGAAAATATTCCTTTACTATTTTTTCCATTTAAGACATATTTTTTCAGGAATCAGGTACAGCTTATAGAGCAGAGAGAAAGGCACTCATGAACTTAAGTCACTTTGGTTTTGGGGTTTTTTTTCCCCATATGTTCTTTTTCATTCACTTGTCATCATTCTCCTTTTTTTGCTTTATTTCTCTTATTTGTCTTGAAGTCAAAGTGGAAAGGGCTATCAAAGGTAACAACCACGATAAAACCTTGTGTTGTGTGAAGTGCACTTTATTTTTGTAACTTGTGTATTTTTAGTTGTGTTTGTGTAGTTCTTTATCTCCTAAACATCTGTTCAGTGTTTGGGGTTTTTTTTGTTCTGTTCATTTGATGTGATTGGGATGAAATCTAAAGCCAGACAGCGTTGAACGCTCATTAATGCTTGGCTGTTCTCCTTTACCTTTCATCTTGCAGCTACATAATCTGTGAGCTGATTATAAGCAAAGTACTGACAATACTGTTTTGCTGGTTTGTGGATATGGGATTTCTTTGTAATTTGGAATGACCCAGTGTTAAAGTTCTTTATTGAAACCACTGAGTAAGGAGAGGTAGAGAGAGGGTAGAGAGGAATAATACAGGGAGTGGATGAAATCTAAATACAAGTAGCCAGAGCACATTGATTTCTTTGTAGGAAGATAGAAGTGATGGGTTTTTTATGTGCCATAAACATATTTTGTGCTAGAGGTTTGTTTTTTCCTGGGCAGGGTTATTTGAATCAATTAAGGATATCATGGCATTTAAGCATGTGCACTTTCTCTTCACATCTCTATCTATAGGCTGCTTTCTAAAGTGTTTTCTAAAAAATTTCACATCCTTGCAGCCATCAGAGAAACAAAGGAAGCCCTGGAAAATGTCAGTGTCTCTGTAGAGGTTCTGCAGGAGGGAACAGAGAGGCTTCATGCAAACCTGACAGATGTTAAAATGCATCTAAGCAATACCCTCAATGACTCTGCGTGCAATGCGGCTCAGGCTGCCTCAACTTGCAATATCATCAGGAATTCATTAAGTCAGCTGAGCATCAATGCCAATTTTAGTGGGGTAAGTTTTTTAAATAATATGCTTCAGACTCTAGAGAGTGTAGTTGTCTTGAATTAGCCCAGTAGTGTTTCTGCAACTCAGTGGCTCGGTGTGTGCTGTCACTTGTGAGAAAAGTGACCTTCCCTTATTCTGTGTTACTGGGTAATTCCAGTCACTGTTTTCATCTTCTGTGTAGAAGAGGATAAAATGTGTGTCAAGCAGCTATGTTAAAGTTCTGCTCTGGGCAGTGAAATAACCTGCCCTCCCAAAAATGGTGAGGTTAAGCTTTGCTTTTGTACAGCAGATGTTTCAGGAGTGTGTTAGATTCTGCTACAAATCATTCTAGTTTCTTTACCCTCTCTCTCAACTTTGAATTATTTACTACATTAGCAAGACTGCTACTTTGATGTGACTCAGGCTTGTTTTTTGTTTCCTAGTTGCCGGGAGTGAGCTCACAGCTTGCAAAGGTCAATGAAGTCCTTAAAATAGACCTTTCTAGTCTGGTTCAAAAGGTATGTTTCTTGGCAGACTTGTAATCACTTGTTTTCCCTTGGTTTCTCAAGCAGAATTCTTGTCATAGAATCATAGAACTTTAGGGGATGGAATGGACCTCACAGATCATTTAGTCCCAACCCCCTGCCCTGGGCAGGGACACCTCCCACCAGACCAGGTTGCTCAAGGCTTCATCCAACCTGGCCTTGAACACAGCCAGGGTTGGGGCAGTGTTTTGTTTCCACCTTGTCTTCCTCCATGGTGGATATCTCTCGTTATTCCATTGTTTGACCAAGATTTAATGTAGTGTTCTGTCTCTCCAGGATACTACAGATCAAAAACTACAGATGAGAGCAAATTGTCTGCTTGAAAGGACAATCCTGAAAAACCAAAAAGTCAGAAATGTGGATCCAATAGCATGCTCTTTATTTTTGGGTTCAAACTAAGAAAATAAAAAAATCCATGCTCTCCTAATTAGTTTTATTGTATTCCTGCTATTTTGAAATATTTCTTTCTAATTCTTTCTGTGCATATTTGGTATCTAATCTGGTACAACGGGCCAAGTGCAATTGCTATTAGCATTTTTGCAAGACTCTCCACAAAAGACAATGATTTTCACCTAGGTAAAATGGCTTAGTTTGAGCACTTGAAAAAGATCTAGAAAGCAGAAAATGCTTGCTAGGAATAGAAGGCAGTTTGTGAAACCAAAGGCTGTGCAAAGGGTGCTTAGAGCCCTACCTGCTTCTGAAGTGATCAGACTTGCAGGGAATAAGGCTTCAAGCATCCTTTACAATGGCTTCTCCTTTCTGTTCAGATGAGCTACTGAGCTTGGTCCCTGTGGTTCAGGCCCTTTCTTTCCCCTTCTCACTGAAGGAAGCATTGCAACTTTTTTAGAGGCAGTTGAATTTCATTTTTTGTCACATGCATTTTATGTCTGGAAGGCACAGACTTGCAAAGGGGAAGTGTTTGGCTGGTACACAGTAACTCCTTTCACTTAGCCAATCTTCATATGTGTATTCTTGATTTTTAAATGGCATAGATCTGACAGGCAACAAAGTTTGTGACTGATTGATGTATATTTAAATATAGATTACTTTTTTCAAGGAGTATTCTGGAGAACAAACTGAATCTGAAATACACTTACAGTTCCTATTTTACTTTCACCTTTTCTAATGTGCAGTGATAAAAATGTATTTTTCATGGTATTGCCACATACATTTTAGCATTTGTATGCCTTTGATCCTTGAATGAAAGAGGGGAAATTGCAAGCAATTTGACAATAAGGAACATGCTATATTTTTTTTAATTTTGATTTTTAGGGTTATGCAGCTTTTAATGATACTCCAGACTTAGTGGTGAACCAAACCAGGAACATTTTGTCAGGTGAGGACAAACTAGTTTTTCATTTTGATTATTTAATGGTTTTGTTTTCTTTTATTGATAATATGTTTTCTTGGCTAAAGATCATGAAAAATGGAAATGTAAAACTTTACTTAGTATTTTTTTTCAGTCTGGTGCCAGTAAAAAAAAAAAAATGTAGAAAGCAACTGTATCTTAATGAGGATCCAAAAATAAGTCTAAATGAGACCATATGGTATTTTATGGAGGAGTTTTATTTGTTAGGCTTTTTAGTGCTCAAGTAATAAAAAAATCTTGGGATCCCAACTGCACACTGACACTTCATTTGGTTGAAAAGCTAATTTTCTTTGACCGATGTGTTTGTGACGTATTTAGGAGTGTGATGTTAAAAAACCTGAACCTGCCTGCTGTTGTATTAAAATGTAGTGGATGGAGAAGGAAAGGTAAAAATGTGCCTTAAGGATAATTTAAATGGCTGTCTTAATTGCTGTGTTACTTGGGCTTTACACCTTTTACTCTTTGACCGTACCTGTGTGCAGTATAGCGTATGTATACTAATCTGTTCTAATTTTTGTTCTTGCATTGTGGACCTGTTCTGCATTATATAAGCAGCTGTTCCTTGTAAGTTTTCCTTTTTGGTTTTTTTTCTTACCCTCCTGGGCAAAATGAAGCACAGTATAGATCCAAGCATAGTGTACTGTGTGAATTTGCCTAAAATGAGCCACTTTTCATTAGGCAATCTAGGGCAGATTTACTCATTTTCAATATCTGCTGATACGTGTAAGCACAGACAAACCATCTTCATTTGTCTCTTTATAAACTGCTGAGGGTTTGTTTGTATAAAAACTGAGTTTGAGTTACAAAGCAAATAATTAGGTTTAATAGAAAAAGACGGCATTTATCTGTGAACTTTTAAAATGAGAGTGATTTTTTAGCTGATTGAATTTGAAGAGTAAACATCAAAACAGGCAAAAACTTGTCCAGTTGTTGTTTGAGAAAGAAGGTGTTGCCTACTACCAAATTGCCACCTGTGGTTCTACATCCTGTGGTTTCAAATGTGTCCCAAGTGGAAAGAAGGGGGCAAGTATACAGAAACTGCATTTTACAAATAGACATATGTATAATAAGTGAATTAATCATGTCTTTTTCTATCTAAATAGTGTCTATATACTCTATAAGTGTAGGGTTGCATGTTTGTTCATAAGCTGCAAGAAAAATGGCTTAATTGTTATCTCAAGAGTGTTGCTAACCAACTGGAATTAATTTATTTAAGTAATCTCTTTTAATAAGATTGAAAATAACTAGTATAGATTCTCAATATAGGTAGTCTAATTTCTTTCACAGTGTTGTATTCCCAAGACATGGAGTTTAAATAGATTTTGATCTTCTCCTTCGTAAACTTAGTGGCTTAATTGTCTGGCTCAGTGTTACCATTTGCAATATTGCATGAAAAGCAAGATTTAAACTGGCTAGATAAAAAGCGACACATTCATTATAATGAAAGGAAAGAGAGTGAGCTCTGGCTAAACTTCTACATCTTTCATCATTAAACTGAATGCTAAAAACAAAGTCTGCATTTTAAAATGCCACTGTTACTTCAAAGCTCGATGTTTTTGTTGCCTGCTTGTCTCTTCCTCACGCTTGTCTTCATGGCTTGCTTGTTACATGTGGCAAATGGCTTAATAGCATTTTATAATGCCTACATGGAATGTCAATTCCATGTATGAATTTGTAACAGTAAAATGTGTTTCTTCTTTTAGATATCAAATCTGTGCTGGAATCCATTGGCTCAAATATTACTACTTTCACAAAAACACTCCCTGTGCAGAAGATTTTGGCAGATTTGATGGTATATCTTACACAGAGTGAAGCATACGTTCAGGATTATTTTCCAGTCGTGGAGCAGTATGATTTCTACAGGTATGTACCAGAAGTAAGGCAGGAGTGAAGTGCTACTCTGTGTTAATAATTTGTCATGTTTTAATGTTCCATAAAGGCAAGTAAACTATTTATGATGAGCACAGTGAAACAAAGATGCTATAGGGCAGTTGTTTGTTGCTGGCATTTTGGTAAAAGCCAGAAACGCAGCTAATTAACCACTGGGTGTTGTTCCACTACAGAGCAAGAGGTAGTTTCTACTCTGTAGGCCTTCAGGTCTTTTTCAGGAAGGATAGATGTAGATAGACATCAAAGATGTAACACAGAAAGGAACTGCTTGTTTTATAGTGCCAGGGTGACATTTTTATGTAGGGCTTGTTTTTGATGAGTTGCAGGGAAGTTGTGAGAGCATAGGACCAGAGAGACCTTGAAGCCAATCCCTTTTTATTGCACCCTTTCTCCCACAGAGGCGGAGTAGCAGGGATTCTGCTTCACACCTCATAAATCTTTGTGCACCTATGCTTGTCTCTGCTGCTGTAGTACTTGTCCTTGTGAGTGTATGAGTTGATTGTACCTTGAGAAAAATGTACCCTTTCCATTTGAGACTCTTCTGACCCATACTGTTGATTAGTCTCATAGTTTGAAGCATAAAGTTTATTTCATACCATCAACCTTTGTCCAGATTTGGTCATTTCCGTCCTCAAGCTCATCAAGTTGTGTTCAATTCTGGACCCCTCAGTTCAGGAAGGATATTGAGGTGCTGGAGCAGGTCCAAAGAAGAGCAACGAGGCTGGTGAAGGGACTTGAGCACAAGTGCCATGAGGAGAGGCTGAGGGAGCAGGGGGTGTTCAGCCTGGAGAAGAGGAGGCTCAGGGATGACTGAACCCCCAGAATCTTAGTTAGAACCTCACCTTTAACATATTCCTTCTCTGACAGTTTGTTGTGAGCCTTAATTTGGCAAATTTATCAATGTTTTCTTTGGGGCTCACATTGAATTTAACCAAATAAATATATTGCTTTATTCTGCTACAGGATGTCTCTGTTCATCTTGTTTATAGTTTCAAAAAAGTTGAGAATATATCTCATCTGCATGGCACTCAAATGCCTGATTTTGTCAAACCTAACCTTATAGTACTTCAAGTACAAATGAAACCAACAAGCCTGTAGTTGTTCAAATTATCTTCTATGCATTCCTTTATTACAGGCGCATTATTTATAGTTCTTAATAATTTCTTTTACAAATGAGCCTGTCACCATTAATGCTTTTCTTTCTTTTTATTGGCTACGCATGTTCGTGACAATATTTATTTTACAGATCTTTCTCTACAAAGGTACAGGGAGGATAAAAGGAAACTTAAAAAATATAAGCTGGAAGAAATCACGACAAAAAGGAAAAGGAAGTGCAGAGGGAATTGGGAGAGGATGAAAGGCTAGAATGAGATGTAAAATGTGTGAATAAAAATGTATGTGCTCCTACTACGAGGACAGATAGAACTGTTATGTGATGTAATTAATAAAAATGAAAGTTAATTTCCTATCTGAGAGCTTTCTTCTGATCAAATTTCATTAACTGCTCCATGCACTGAAAGTATTCCAGCACAGGCACACAAAGCCTAGGTTTTTACAGACTTCAAGAAGTTATTTACAGTTACAAATCTAACACAGTGTACAAAAACTTAGTAAGCTTTACGGTAAGAGCAAATATAGACTTCATCACCAATGGCCAGTCCACATCCATAAATTCTCCATTGCTTCTTGAATAAATTGCTGTTTGAACATCTGCCTCCTCTGAGTCATTGTTTGTTCCACTTGGAGCACTTTGACGCTTCAGCACAGTCCACCTGCAGTAATTGAGTTGGGAACACCTTGTTCCTGTGCTGTTTGTTCCCCATTCCTTCAGCAGCAGCTGTCTGTAATCCAACAGTGACTATGTTCTGGCCCAAAATACGTGCTAGTGTACTAAATGCTCTTTTTTTTGTTGTTGCTAACATTTGTTGCTCAAACAGAACCATGAGTGGGTCAGTTGGGAATACAATATTGCCTGATTTCTTGTGCAGTTCTCCAGTGCGTTCTTTGCGTGAAAATAACCAAGAGATTTGTCTTTCATTCCTTAGGTGGCTGGGTTGTCTCATTCTGTGCTGCATGGTGGTCCTGATTCTGGTCTTTTACTATCTTGGATTGCTGTGTGGCACCTGTGGTTTTGATAAACATGCTTCTCCAACAACCAGAGGCTGTATCTCTAACACTGGAGGAAATTTTCTTATGGCGTAAGTTTTGCTTATCAGTGAAAATTTAAAATAAAGGTACCTGTAGAAGGTTAGTTTGGTTGATTTTGAAGGACATAGATATGAATAAATTTGGTTTGTTACCTCTGTTTATCTGCTGAGAAAAAAACGACAGAAATAAGTATTGATCTTGCATGCTTACACTGAGGGTCTTGGGGACTTTGGGTTGCTCTTTCATCGAGGATCATAGTTGAGGGATAGAACCTCTGAATCTACTGTTTTAAGGCAAGCACTGTAGCTAATGAATTGCTGTGTAAGCCCCTTTGGAAACTGCAAGAACTGGGAACAGCTAACTGAAAACATAAAGGGGAATTGACAGCTTTTTAGTACACTGAGCATTTGCTCAAAATTTTAAAAAGCCAGGCAAGGAGTCAAGAAACACTTGACTTTCTCAGAACACTTCATGAGGTTTGGGGTTGCAAAGTGCATAGTAGTGGTTTAATGCAATTTTTGCTGGGTTCAGAAGAAGATTGCATCTGTCTAAAACCATTTTGAGAACGCAAGGCTAGAGAGTTGAATTTAAAAAAGATAGTTGTATGGTTTTGTGGCTCTAAAACTTAATTCTTAAAACAGTTTGCACGCCCAAGGTAAATGTGAGCGTTTTAGATGCACTTTAGCTGAAGACTTTACAGAGCAAAAATATAGAAGATGTCTCAGGGGGCAAGGACATATTTGGAAAAGAGAAGTATTTCAACCATCTATCAGTTTTCATATATCTGTTATAGATGCTAACTGTTGCCTTCACTGTTGGACCAAGTGTGTGTAGATATATATATATATATATATTCTTTGTTCTTAAAAAGCAAAAACTTACCCAACTTACTTCTTTTTCAGTGGTGTTGGATTCAGTTTTATTTTCTCCTGGGTGCTGATGACTGTAGTGGTTCTGACTTTTGTCACAGGTGGAAATGTAGAAAAACTGGTCTGTGAGCCCTTTGAAGATAAAAATTTATTCAAGGTGAAGTTATTACACAATTAATAGAATCCCCATGAATCCCAATGGTCTTGTCAGTTATGTATGGCATACTGTTTTTGATGGGACGTTTCAAGTGAGTTTGGATCTGGTTTTACTTTCTCCATACACACCATATAGAGACATTTATCCTTTCTTGGTTTAATTTGCTTTGCAGTGTAAATACTGCAAGCCTGTCATCCACTGGAGACAAATTTTTCTGATTCAGCACTCCTTGGTGCTGTTGAGCTTGAATATTCACTTTCTGCATCAGAGAGTTTGAATTTGTTGTTTTGCTTGTATTTTCATTAGTGGGTGATAAGCTTAGATGTAGGAATGTGTAAAAAGACCACATGTGAATAAATACATGAGTAAACCTGGAATTATAGTAACATTGCTGAATTTTGTCTTCTAGATTTTGGATACACCTTACTTACTAAATCAGCACTGGAAAAATTATCTTGCTGGCATCCTGTTCAAAAATCCAAACATTAACTTGACTTTTGAAAAAGTGTACAGGTATTAATGCTATGATTAAGATTTATTTCAGTTCATATTTAGTTCATTTTTGTTCATTCAATATTGGTTCATATATATTGGTTTTGTGGGGCCTTCCATGCTTCATATTTCAGGTACTTACAAAAATCATGAATGTTTCTGAAGAAATTCTGATTTCCTAGTGAATCACGAGCAGCAGTAATTTTTTCCTGTATAGAGTTATTAGAGGTAGTCTTAGCATAATACTGTATGATGATACTAGTTGAGCTCTTTGATAGATTATTTTGCAGAGAGACCAACAGAAACTATTAATGATTTGTTTTCTTACAGATTGAGCTAAAAAAATATAGCCAGTACTTTTTTATTCTCAAGGATTGATTTTCTTAGAATAAGAAAACATTGTTAATCATTCTTTTATTACTTGGTCCTCAAGGTGGTTTCTAGGCTGATACATGTATCGATATTTTTCTAGTGATTGCAAGGAAAACAAAGGAATTTATACTTCCCTTCACCTAGAACACCTGTTCAATATCAATGAGATTCTAAATACTAGTATGGTAAGTGGAGAAACTATGAGTGAGTGCATGATTGGTTTTGAAGGATGTGGAAGTGTTTGCTCTTAAACACCATATAGCATGTCTGGGGTTTATGGGGGTTTAGTTATGATATACACAACATCCTGCAAGGAGGCAAGAACTGTCCAAGCTAATTTGAAAGAAAGAAATCTATTGGCAAATAAGATGTTCTTTATAAGTCTCAGTGGGCCATGGAAGATTTTCTGATGTGCTTTTTTTTTTTTTTTATGGTTGCTGGTAATAATGTTGGTTTTAACTTTGAAACTTGCATAGAATTTTGAAGTCTAGCATCTCACAAAAGCTGCTTATCCTGTTTAGTGATGGTCTTGCTGTTTATATAAATGCCTTTTCTTGGTGTGTTCTCTTCTGATTCCAGTCAGATTTATGTTGATCCAGGATATGATATACTGTGGTCCTAAGAATGGTTCGAGTTTTGCTTGGAAGGGATTGGGATAAAATAGAGTATTTTCAGTTAAGCTAAATATATATAGCTTTAT